GAACAATATTTTGTTTAAAAACTCAGGACATCTTCGAGTTCGTTCCAGCAACTCTTCGCAAAATCTCAATCTTATTTCATTGTCTCGTGGTAACAGTTCTTGTACCTGCAAATAATGATAAGGGTGTAGCTGTTGCTCTCTGAGAATCCTGGTTACATTCGCTTGTGTTGTGTCTATTCGTCTAGCTAATTTCCTTGTACTCATTTCCGGATCCTGTTCCACAGTATTTAATACTTCTTCTTCAACTTCTACAGTTCTCGCACTTCTAATCGGCCACCATTTCTATTATTGGTTTTCAAACATCCTGTTTCACGCAGTCTTTGTACTATCCTCAGAATTGTTCTCGAATTTGGAACGCGTCGAACGGGAAACATCTCTGCATATCGTCTCACAGCAGCATTTGCATTTCCGAAGCACTCGCCAAGCATTAGAAGCATATCAGTTTGTTCAGAGAACGAATAACCTGCCATATTTCTTGAAATCTCAGTTGATAATCGCAGTGATAAATGACACAGAAAAACCACACGAACAAGTCAACTACAACAATGTTGACTCGAATGTTGATGACATGAACGTTAAAATTGAGAACAAAATTATTCATCATGGCCTGCTAAAATATTGTTACCGATGAATCTCGCGATGAATAAAATCAATCTGCTGATATCATGTAACTACAAAAATTCAAATATCTCACGAACGGCTCAATTTTTTGTATTTGAATAAGAGTACCTTTTTCATGTAATTTTCTTCGCTCCATCAAATGCTCCTGTTTTTTCACCGAAAATAATACAGGGAAAAAAGTTTTCTACAAAAAATCATGACTCACCCTCTGAAAACACCCTTAATAACAATATCAGAAATGTGGAAGTGTGACAAAAAAAAATGTATTTTGACAACATACAGTCATGCACAAAATTTCAATCGGGTGGCTTTCATCGTTTAGAAGTTATGCGGAGAAATTATTTTAATTTTATCAACTTTGGAAGGATATATCTCCCTTAATATGCATTTTGGGCCATGAGTTTAATCATCAAACTACACTTATTTTTCAATGTTCTATCACCCCCAGAAAGCTCGGTACACATTTTTGACTCACCCTGTATATGTATAGAAGCCCGAACAAACATTGAAGAAAACCACAAAAGCCGGAGCTGCGCGTAAACTTCCGGTGCGATGGAAGAAGCACGATTTGGAAATTATGAAAATATCGAATTAATGATTTCGATCTCAATTTCAGCATAATTACTTAATTGTGGCAATATTCCGTTGATTTTTCATGAAACTAATTGAAGTGTCTTACCATACGTACTCTCGATTCGATGAAGAAAAAAATATATGACATTTATAGATATTCACGAGGATAACCAGAATGGAAAAAGCTTGAAAACTCACAACAGTAGACTTCAATGTGAACCTCATGCAGGAGCCAAGTTTCATTGGGAAATTTACCATGCTTCATCAACACTTGAGCATTGGGGGATTTTGGTCACCAACATTTTGTTTTACCCTTGGTCACCAAAGAAGGGATGATTTGTATTTCGTGCAAGATAATTTATTCGATATTCATAGCAGAGCGCTTTCGATTGTTTCGAAAAAAGAAATCCGAAGATTTTTTTGTAAAAATTTGTTTTTGAAATTTTTTTGAAAATTTTTTTGGAAATTTGTTCAATATTGAGAAAAGGTGGAAAAACAAATTGGTGACTTGTTACTTGTTGATGAACTCTTGATTTTGAAAAAGACATAATTAAATCGGGATTTGAAATAGTTAAATATGAATTTGAAAATTGATAAAAGTGAGGTTACTTACTCGTCAGGTTAACAGGGAAATTTGTCCATAAAAATATCTTTGGTCCAGTTCAAAACTAACGACATTATGGTAAAATACGGTACAAACAAATTAAAATGTGTTTCCCAAAAGGAGGTAAAATACGGATTACATTTTGTTAAGCAGCCATTGTCGCTGCGACATGTCGTGTTGAAGTGAGCTTGATGAGTGACGGAGTCCGTGGTGGAGAACTATCGATAGCACTATCGACAACTATCGATAGTATTAACACGTTAACCGCCAAAGTGAAATTATCATAAGGACTGTATCTGTGGAATTTGGCTGCCGGCGCCCAATGATTTTTATTTCCAGGGCGCCATTTGGGTTGCCGGCGTCCAATTATCAGACTCATGAAATGTTGTACGTTGGATGCCGGCAGTTCAATATACTCACGATTTTCTATATCCAGTTTGTCACTTGGGGTGCCAGTGAGTACTTCTGATATATATGATTAGCCTAGTGCAGATAATTTGATGGTTTCATGGTCTAGAAATACAAGCACTACGAATCTCATGATTTATTGCGTAATACTAGTGAACATATGAAAATATACAAAACTGTGAATATGTAAGAACAAATTATGATTTTAAATGTTTGTTGAAGCACTCAACACAGATGAATGGTTTAGCTTGACATCCTGAACAGAATGTTGTGACTTTTTTGCCCAAGTTTGCAGCTATTCTTGCCCCTTTCTGTGTTGACATCTTGTCATAGCACATGGTGCACCTTTTCCTTATTTTTCTATTTCTGTTATCTCTCTCCGTGGTTTCCTGTAAATAGTGTAGCCCTTTGTTTTTTTTACATGGAATCTCTGGTGGTATATTTTCTTCTTCTCCTTTCTGTTCCAGTAATGAGTCGATCAATTGTTCTCTGAATTTTGTAATTGTAATTTTTTTATTTGGATGTAGTTTCTTGAATAAGATCATTGAATTTACAACTGTGGTACCAAATAAAAGTTCTGCTGCCACTTTGTGATACCATCTCACCGATTTCCTCACTGGAGTTGAATAACTCGATAACTGATCTGATAAGTCAATACCAGCTTTCCCGTGATTGTAATCTATTATAGATATAGGTTTCTTGATATCTTCTTTTTTTCTATCTTTTTTTCCCGTTGAGATAATATCCAAATTATGATATGTTGAAAGCATCAGGACATCTCTTTTATCTTTCCATTTAGATACCACAATTCCTCGCTGATTTTCCCGTCCAACAATATCCCCTTTTCTCAATTTAGCTGAAATTATATCTTTCGGCAGCCCTCTTCTATTTTTCCTGAGTGTCCCAACCAAATGGGTATTTCGATCCAACAAAGAGTTAGCCAAAGGTAAACTTGTATAAAAGTTGTCCGTTACCAATATCCGCCCTTCGCCTAAGTAATTTTGACTTAATCTCAATACAACATCTGCTGCGAGTCCGCCTGTTGTGATTTCGTTTTTCCCGGTGTAAATTTCGAATGAATATGTGTATCCAGTTGTATCACAGAGTTTAAACAATTTGACACCATATTTGTGTCGCTTTCCAGGAATGTATTGCCTGAATTTCAACCTGCCCCTGAAAGGAACCATGGTCTCATCTATGGCCAACATTTGGTCTGGCTTCATGGTTGCCTGATACTTTTGCACTAATAACTCTGCTAATCTCCTTATTTTGAAAATTCTGTCCCCTTCTGGAGCTTCTGCATTATTTGAGAAATGCCAAAATCTCAATAGCACCTCAAATCTATTTCTCGACATACATGAACCCGCAATGTGATTTTTATATTTCTTATCTCTACTCCAGTAGCAATTTATTGATGGCATCTTCACGATACCCATCCATAGAAGGAGACCAAAAAATTTCTTCATCTCTTCAATAGTTGTTGGTATCCATGCGCCTATTCGACTCGACCTTGGATGAATTCCACTATTCATTACTTGAGTAGCATTGCGATTCGTCTCATGTACAATGAGTTGTAATATTTCGTCAGAGATAAAACTTCTATAGCAATCGAATGGTGTAGCATTCTCTTCCAGTCGGCAAGATATTCCAGAGACACAATCAAAATCAAAATGATTATTCTGGTGTCCAGAAACATCAGACCAAACATTATTACCAACAACTGGTGTATCTTCTGGCAAAGCATCATCAGAGGCGCTGTTCTCTCCATCGGTATCACTCGAGGTGGATCCATCAGTATCATCGTCTTTGGTTGGATTATAATTTCGATCCGCGATATCGTCATCACTGCTGAAATCGAAGTCATCACCATTGTCTGAATCCGTTTCATCATCCAATGCCGACGTCAATTCTGCATGCGTCAAGGTCCGCTTCATATCGCGAGAAGTGGATGGTTTCGTATTCATGTTGATTGTTTGACCTAGAATCATGTCATGTACTCAATGAAAAGAAATTGTTCATCTAAATATTACTCACCTGATCCAAATTGAGTATGAAATTCAGTAGTGAAACAAGAGTTATCGAGTAAACATTGTCGGCATGATACAAAAACAAGTGTTACTGGCAGGTGTTTTTATTTTTAGCATCGGTTAGAGTCAACACTGTCTACAGAATGCGCGCGATGAGAAACATTCCTCGTCATTCACGGCACACACACACACACACGCATGCCCTCCTAGTTGCCCCACTCATTCTGCAATTGGACGCTGGCGACCAAGTGGCCTGGCAAGGATCAGCGTATCAACAGAGCGCCAGTTGGTCGCCGGCAACCAATTGTCAAAAATGTCATTTTTGAAATCAGGAATACTGAAAAGTGTGTATGTTTTTTTTTCAAAATTTTTAAACGATTTGTTCTGCCATAGTTACACTTGGGGCCCTAGGAATTCCTCGTAGAATTAGACACGGGGTGTCGAGAAACTCATGAATTGGCCGCCGGCGGTCGCTTGGCAGTTAACGTGTTAACTATCGAGACGCTATCGATAGTACTTTGTCACTATCGATAGTTTTCGATAGTTGCGCCCATGCCTTGCAGCCTTTGGCCTTTGGCCTTTGACCTTTGACAATTGACATTCGATTATTTGCTGTTTTATTTCTTATTGAATAATAAAATTTATTCCGTTAATCTATTGTTATTGTCATTGTCAGGTTATTGTTGGCTAATGGCTGTTGTTTGTTGTAAAATGTTTATGTAAGCTTGTGGAGAAATAGTTAATTTTGAATTATAATATTATTCGACATGGAAAAGTTTATCACAATCAATCGGAGTCAATTAGAGCCTAGTCCTAGTACTAGTGTAGTGGTACTACCAGAGAAGAACGAGGTAAGAGAAAGAGGTAAGTTTGTATTGAAAAAATATAGAATTATAATTAAATTAGGTTAGGTACCTACCTATCTTAGGTGTGTTGAGAATTAATAAAGGATTATGTATATTTTTTGTAGATGCTAATATTGAAGATGAAGCTAGGGATGAGAATGGGGAAAGAGCGGACAATTTGGTAGAGGATACAGATGTTGAAGAAGAAATTGATAATAGAAAAAGGAAAAGACCAAAGGTTTCAAAAGTGTGGAACTTTTTCAAGAAATCTGGTGATAAGAAATTTGCCAAGTGCTTGAATTGCGGCAAGGAGTATAAGACGAGCAGTAATACAAGCAATCTTAGTGACCATCTCAAAAGATACCACCCCAGGCTTTTGGGAAAGCCTCATGATTATGACAGAACTGAAGTGATACTGATAAAGAAAGTCTTACTGCCTCAAGTTCTGCAAGGTCCAGTAATCGGTCAATCAGTCCACTTTTCAAGCGCCCAAATGAATATGACACTGATTCTCCAAAAAAGAAGGAAATAGATAGGTCTTTAGCCTCCATGATAGCAAAAGATTTTCAACCTTATAATGTTGTGAATGATGAAGGATTCAAATCTTTTGTTCATCATTTAAACCCTAGGTATGTTATACCCAGCAAATACACTGTACGGGAGACAATAATGAAGAAAATATATACAGATGCCTGCAAAGTTTCAAAGGAAATATTACAAACTGTCGAGTTCATTGCCATTACTTCTGATTCATGGACATCTGTGACAAATGAATCCTATTTAACTGTGACTTGTCATTTTATAATAGAAGAATTCCAACTTAAGTCAGCTGTTTTGTCAACAATACCCATAGAAAATGGAATATATCATACATCACAAAATTTGGCAGATGCATTGAGTCAAATATTTAATGACTGGGATATTGAAAAAAAAAGGCATGTATAGTAACAGATAACGCAGCTAACATGATAAAGACATTGGAGATACTAAAAAAAAATACCTTCCATGTTTTGCACACAGTATTAATTTGGTTGTGCAAGACAGCTTGTCGCTGGAACCTGTGAAAAAAATTTTAAATAGATGCAAAGAAATTGTTCGCTTTTTCAAAAGCAGTAATATTGCCACAGAGATTTTTAAAAATGAACAAAATACCAAGAGTCCATTAAAACTTCTGCAAGAGGTTCCAACCAGGTGGAACAGTGCATATAAAATTATAGAGAGGATTTTGAAAACCAGCGATTTTGTTAACAAGTCCTTGTTGAAAATAAAAAAAGCTCCAGTGCCTTTGAGCATTGATGAATTAACTGTTCTTGGTGAAATTAGGAAACTTTTGAAACCATTTGATGAAGCAACTTCAAAGGTGTCAGGAGCTTATGTTACCATATCCATGATAATTCCTTTAACATTTGGAATATACAATTCTCTAATAGACTTAAAAACTTACATTGGAAGTGAAGAAGGAACAATCATGTGTGAGAAACTTATTAACTCTGTTCAATCCAGACTATTCCTGTATGAAAAGAGGACTGTGACCCAAATGGGTACATTGCTTGATCCAGCATTCAAACAAGAGGGCTTCCGAATCATAGATAACGCAAAAGCAGCTGGACAATTTTTGGAGAATGAGATGCTCGTAATGCTGAATAAAGATGTTAAAGAGCCAGACAGTAAGGGAAGCATAAGCAATGATAAAGATGATTTAGATTCATCAGACAGAGGCTAGAGCCTTGGATTTGATGAATAACCTTCAGCCCGTTGGAGTGACAGGTACGATACCTAAAGAGGAAGAGAAAAATAGAAAGAAAGCTGGTATTCAAGGACAGGAAAGAGATAAGAAAATACTTGTTAGGTCGGACTCAGTATCCAGTGATAAAAGTGGCAGATCAACCAGATATCAGCAGAGGGTTCCTAAACAATAAACAGTATCTACATACCAATGTACTCCATCTCGAAACATTTCGTATATATGTTTCAGCTGTAATTCTGTTATAGGAATTTGAATGTTTTATTGAATATTGGAAATATTATCTCATCATTACATTATAGCATAATTAATCTTTTGTCTTCAATTACGAAATTCTTCTTACTCATAATGACTGATATCAAAATTGGCTGCATAAACATCGGATCTTTGAATGCACATATAAATGAACTCAGGGACTTCGTTCAGGTGAGTAAGTACACAATACTGTGTGTTACTGAAACCTGGCTGACTGCCAACTGTTCAGAAGATTCTGTCAAAATTGATGGTTACGCTCTATACAGAAAGGATAGGAAGGACAGAAGGGGTGGGGGGATTGCTATTTATTGTTTATCTAATTTAGTAGTAAGTATTGTTGGTGATATTAGTGATAGGACAGAACAGATGTGGCTGGATGTCAAATTGAATAACGAAAACTATGCAGTTGGAGTTGTGTATCGTCCGCCCAGGCAACCACTACTTGAGTTTCTCGATGAGTTTGAAAGTAATGTAAGTAATATTTCGGCGCAATACGATAACTTAATTTGTACAGGAGATTTCAATACGGATTTGTTCAAATGCAACTCTGCCACGCGTCACTTGCAAAATGTCTTTGATTCGTTTGGTCTTGTGCAATACGTTGAAAAACCTACCAGGATAAGCCGTACGATAGCTTCACTTCTTGATTTAATGTTATGTTCAGAAAACTTGAACGTGAGTAGCTGCGAAGTCTTGGATCAAATTAATATATCTAGTGATCATTGTGTGGTTAATATTATCCTAACTGTGGCACATCCAATCGGGAATAGTGAAGCAGTGCTCATTAGAAATTTCAAAAAAATTAATATAATTGATTTCAATCAAGATCTACTATATACATCATTTCATGATATTTATAGTGCAGGGAATATCGATTGTAAAGTCAATAGTAGTAGTAGTAGTAGTAGTTTATTTAGCAATATTCTGCTACTCATTTCACAACAACAATACAATATTTAAATCTAATATAATATACATATATACACATACATACACACACATACATACATATATATATACACACATATATATACACACATATATATACAATGATTACAAAATCCTTATTTCATTCAAACAAATATTTATAAATTATTTCTCATTCCCTAATACTTTTCTTTCACATATTCCACAGCCTTTCTTCTGAACTCATTGAACATATTAATTGATCTTATATACAATGGTAAATTATTATACAGCACTAGTCCATTATAAAATATTGACTGCTTTGTTGATGTCTTCTTCACAGCTACCACATATATATTGGAAGCCGTTCTAGTGTTGTATTTATGAATTTCATTAACAAACTTGATTCTATCTGACATATACCTTGGAAGCATTTTGTGCAATATTTTGTAAATGAATAGAACAACATTAAAGACCAGTCTTTGATTTATACTCATAAAATGTAGGCATTCTAGCATCGCATTTGTTGAGGTATACTTATTTACTTTCAATATAATTCTCATAGCTCTATTCTGTTGTATCTGTAATTCTTTTTTTTCCCCATCGTTACAATAATAAACAATGGTGGGGCAGTATTCAAAGAGGAGAGCTATAATGGCCTTATATACCGTAACTCTGGAAAACATCGACAAGCTCTCACTAATCCTATAAAAGTAATTTATCCTCTTACTAATTTTATCGAGTGTATACCTAATATGTTTATCAAACTTTAACTTGCTATCAATAATTAATCCCAGATATTTACATTCAGAAACATACTCCAGTTCTTCATTGAATAATGCAAGCTTAGTAACTGTTTTTGAGTCTACATTTGTTCCAAATAGCATTACTTTTGTTTTTTTCGTATTCACAAACAAGAAGTTATCTTCTAACCATTTTTCAAATTTTATCAATTCATTTTGCATCGTATTGCATACCTCATCTACTGATTTCCCAGATACTGATATTACCGTATCATCGGCAAATAAGTTGACTGTTGTTTCTTCATCAAAGCAATTCACAATATCATTGATGTATGTGATGAACAAAATTGGGCCGAGTACCGACCCTTGTGGTACTCCAAATTCAACCTTCTGCTTCTGTGACACATAGTTGTTAATTTTCACTTGTTGAGATCTATCATTCAGGTAATCTTCAAACCATTCAAGTGCTTCACACCGTATTCTGTACTTTTTAAGTTTTTCAATCATTATTTTCCTGTTGATAGTCTCAAACGCTCTTTTGAAGTCTACAAATACCGATAACACTATTTTATTTTGCTCAATCTGTTCTTTCCACTTAGTAATTACCAACTGAATAGATGTCTCACATGAGTGTTTATCACGAAATCCTGACTGATTCTCTATAAGTATATTATTATCCATTAAATGTGTTAAGAATTGTTTTTTTATATGAATCTCCATTATTTTCTCTGGTAATGGCAAAGTATTTATAGGTCTATATTCTTCACATTTTTTTTGAATTAACCACTTTTGGAACTGGGATAACAATTGAGTTTTTCCACCTGCTGGGAATTCTAGCATGTTCTATTGATTTATTTATGATTTTTATGATTTCTTGTTTCAACTTATCTTTACCTGCTCTAATTATGTCCATTTCCATTATATCTGAAGAGCTCTCTTTTTTTATTTCCCTAATAATATTTTCAAAGTCAACATCTTTCATTTTGGTTAATTTACTCAGTGGTATTATATTTTCCTGTAACTCTGCAGCAGTAGTAATGTGTTGGTTTCTATTTCTTCCTACTATATTTTCGATGCTTTCAATAAAGTACATATTAAATTTTTCTGAAATATCCATTATTTTTGTTACATTCTTATTATCAAAATAAATATTTGTGAATGTTTGACTATTTGTTTTTTTATAGCCCATAACTTCTTTGATTCCTTTCCACATTTTTTTCCCATTGTTTTTGTAACTATCAATTAAATCTTTGTAGTAGTAATATTTTTTTCTTTTTATCAAATTTGTACATTCGTTTCTTTTCGACCTGTAATCATTCCAGTTATCTGTAGTTTTTTCTATTAAATACTTTTTATATAATTTATCTCTTTCATTCAAGATCTTTTGGGTTACTTCATCAAACCATTTATTATTTTCTCGAACATTTATTATTTTGACAGGCGCTATTTTGTCTAAGGTATTCAAGATATTTTCATAGAGTATCTCTACTAATTGTTCTGTGTCGCCATCTATCCAGTCACATTCACTAAGGACTTTTTCAAAATTTGATTCTTTTATTTTCTTTTTGTTTCTACATTCTATTTGTTTATATTTACTGGTAATACTAATTTTATTTGATTCCTGATTAGTCGTTATTTGTACAATATCATGATCTGAAAATTTTGGTACCCTTTTAACTTCTGTTCTAACAGACTCATCATTAGTAAAAACTGGATCAATTAAAGTTCTAGAATCTTTAGTTATTCTGGTACATTCTGTTACAACTTGTCTGAGGTTGAACCTGTGTAGCTGCCTTACTGCTTTAGATTCATAAAAACTATCTTTATGAAAATCTATGTTCAAATCCCCCATCAAATATATATGTTCATTTCCTAACATTAAGTCATCATCCATGAAATCCCTCATTTGTTCTAAGAAAATTGAAATACTCGAGCTTGGTGACCTATATATAATAATGTATATATCTTTCTTAATTTGTACTATAACAATCCATATGTCCTTTCCAACACTAATATTTTCAACTATATCATATTGAATATCGTTCCGCACATAACAAACTATAGCTCCTGTATGTCTACTTATTGAGTTACACCTTATTGTTACATATCCATTAATACTTATTTCACTATCTTCTATATCTTTAGTTATACAGGCCTCTGTGAATGCTATAATTTCATTTTTGTTCATTTCTGCTCTTACAAACATCCTAATTTCATCTATTTTTGGTAATAGGCTTTCGATATTCAAACACATGATATTTAGTTGCTACTTTGCATCATTCCTATATAAAGTTTTATCTTTTATTATTTGTTCTACCTTCAGCAGGCATGGACATTTTCTATCCCACACAGTATGTTCAATGTCTAGTGATGTGTTGTACTTGGTATTTGCTCGTATACAATTTATACATTTTTGTTGTTCTTCCTTACAATTTTTCTGCTCATGAGGACCACTACATTTTGGACATGCTAACCCTAACGTACAGTCCTTAGCTATATGATTAAATCCTGAACATTTGAAACATTTTTTTACACTTGAGAATTCATATATAGAGCACTCATATAAACTAATATTTACCCTACCTTTATTTATTAGTTGATTGTATGTGTTCATGTCAACTTCTATCAACATATTGTATTTATTATTATTCTCATTAGATATATGTATAATGTTCAACATGAATTCTTCATCTACCTTATTCAGACCATTTTGTACTATTAACTTTTCCTTCAAATCCTCCTCATCCTTTTCTATATGCTTTGGTATATTTACAATTTTTAGTTTTGGTATAATTTTTTTAGGCTCTGATACTACATATCCTGCTCCTAGTGACTTTTGTACTTCTTCTTTCATATCCTTACTATTTTTACCATTACATTCCAATACAACTCCTCCATCTTCCAAGCTTCTACCCATACACATGTTGGTTTTCAGCACAATAGGATTCATTTTTTTAATCACATCTTTCTTTACCTCATCATGATCAGTTTTTTCTGCTGGTTTCACTATCAATACCTCTTTTTTTCCCGTTACTGCTCGACTGTAACTCACAATTTGTTCATTATTTTGGACAT